GATTTGGGTCGCTGTTTTGGCTGCACGTCGACAGAAAAGTGATCGGAGAGCCCAAAGGGAGGACGCTGAGTCGGTGGGTCGTAATATGACTTCAAATTGGTCAAGACTTTGTCCAAAGTTTTCCGACCACGAGTTGGAAAGTGGACTATTTGCTTTAAACCGAAATTGGTCATCAATCTCGAGGCGTTTAGTCGGTTTAAGTCACCAAGCACAATTATTCCACTGTTTGAGTGTTTGTATGCGCCTTGCATGGCTGCACTTTTAAACGCTCTCCAAAATCTTTAAATTTTATATCTTTTTTCACTTTAATATTTTCTTAAACACTCAAAAATGTTTTTCAACGCAATGAAAAGATTGTGGTCACGTTATAGAGGGAAAAGAGCTGGAAAACACGTCAAAGCAAACGAAGTTTTTAAGCGCTACCAAATTCGCCGTGTTCAACAAAGGCCATCGATGCGTACCCCGAAAGGAGAAGAACATCGTTGATCACGTAATCCTGCAAATTACGCGTTCATCAATCCTTGTCAGCCTAAACCAAGTTCCCAGCGAGATAAGTACTTTGTCCCGTCCTTTTTTCTGTCTAATGTGATGTCTTTGGCGCCCCTAATTTCAAAATTTCTAAAGGAAATGCCMAAATCCCCTAATCACAAATACGTGGYGCTGTCCCAGTGAATGACTTGAAGACAAATATTCTTATGTAAAGGCTTCACCAGTAGTTGTGCTTSGCACTGATATGTAGGTGGGAGATGAGGGCGTATACAATGGGGCMAGCTACACCTAGTACCGTCAAACTGACAAATCAGTGGAATATTGTCTAGTATACTCCCTAGGATGATGGAGGGTGTAAAACCACTTTCAAAAAGTCKACTTCTGATGGTAGAGTAAAGCGTACTAGCTAGCCGTAACTGAGCAGACAGCATAGATGGCATGAATAATACCCAAGYATATTATGCGCTAAAATGTTGTGTGTCAAGCTGATCAGCTGTCAGTCATAGGCGTAACGTCATCGTGGTAAAGGCGGGCGAGGCGGCTATGCATTCGTTAGTTGATAGAAGGAGCATTCGTTAAAGTTTAATTAACTTGACTTAAATACTTGATTTAACCACATCGAAATGTTCGCAGGTATATCGWGGGCGTTTTTCCTGGAAAGTATGGAATTTCAAAACCATTCTACTTTCCATTCTTAAAGTCCTACTGGTGTGGGCAATCTAATGATGACCTARTAGAAGCCAACTCTGAAGAGGTAAATCATACTCTGACATATATGAATGATTACCAATACGCAGATACGTATAATRTTTCAATTCGTGAATTGTTTAGGGAAAAGGTGATGAGCTACTTTACCATGGYCATGACGTAGAAGATGATCCCGCTGACATGGAAGTAGGTGTTTGCATCAAGAATTTGAGGAAAGTCTATAAGGTAAGCAATCAATAGTTTGAAATTGAAAAAAATAGTTCTCTGTACACTTTGCGTTTATCCTGCTCATTATTCASAGCCCATTCCTAGAGACTTAGAAAGATCATGCTAATATGTATTATTTTCATGGGTACACATGGTGATTCAAGCATCATTTTATTATGGGTATCTTATATACTTATCATTCATCACTTTTTACGTTTCCAGAGTTCCACTGGSACCAAGGTAGCAGTTGATGGACTCTCTCTGAAGATCTTCAAAGGCCAAATCACAACACTCTTGGGCCATAATGGAGCCGGRAAAACAACCACTATTTCCATACTCACTGGACTCTTTTCGCCAACTTCTGGTTCTGCTATGATAGGAAATAAAAGCATTTTAACAGACATCGATGCTATACGAGAGAGCCTGGGACTTTGCCCTCAGCATAATGTGTTGTTTGACCGATTGACAGTGAAAGAGCACTTGGAATTTTTCGTCAATCTAAAAGTAAAATTAAATATTTAATTTAAATTAGAAAACTAGAAGACTAAGATAGCCTGCATGCGAAAGAGTAGCAGCTAACCGCTTAGTACTGGCAGTGCAAATTATTCCAAAACATGATCTACTTATGGAGTATTTAACAACACAACACTAGTGTCATAAAATGTAGGCACAGAAACGCTTTGATCATTTAACTATATATCTACTGAAGATCATTTTATAGTTCCCAATTCACTAGGTTTTCTTTGTTATTCATACGGTTGTATATATGATGGAGACCCCGATTGAAAGCCGATGGGTGATTTGATATTCAACAGGGGTTGTGGGGTATGGGGTTGATGAATTGAATCGAATAGCTCATTATAAATTAACTGGGCTATATATGAGTGACCGGGATGATCATTCATATACACATATATATACATTTATAACGAAATATTCAATTTAATTGATCAACCCCACATTTCCCTCTGCTGAATATCAAATAAACTATACAAGTAAACTAAGATATTTTTTCACATAAAAAGACCAATGTGAGTAGCAATACTTGAGGATAACAGCATAATATATAAGTTCGAGTCCCGCAGCTTTTCCGGCTTCTTGTCCATCAGAGAGAATATAGAGACGACAAAAATAGCCAAGTTAATTCTTCCTTACATCTTAGAGTCAATACGTCGTAACCGCTCCATTGCCCATTTTATCCAAGCACGTACACACCCTTTAATCCATAATTTTGCTCCTTCTGGAATCCTTCCCTCGTTTCTTTGAGCGAGTTCAACATAAAAAACTATAGCAAGAGTTGCAAGTTTTCTTTTCTTTTTTCTCTTCGGCAGATTTGCCATCATTATTTGCGGGCGTAGGTATACGTAGTTCCAAATCCGATAGCACTAATTAATCTTCAATATCAAAGTTCGGTAAAGGAATGCTGCCAAGCGTATTTTGAACTATAAACAAATCGTCGTTTCTATTCGATATCGTTTCCAGAATGACTGTTATTTGATAATTGTATCGTCAAATTTCGATTGCACGCTCTCGCATCAACAGGCCATGAAAAMGTCTGAAGAGAAATCCCAACTAAGAAAAAATTGATATAGTCTATTCAGTTTTTGCGAAAACCATGTGAATTGGAAACTAAGTTTGTTAGTTACCTCTCACGTCATTACGCTATATACAGCTATGGGGCCTATGGCCCTCGTGCTGTATATAGCGTAATGCCTCCGTTCTCGGTTACTAACTCTTACTCAATGTTTCAATTTCTTCTGTAGGGTAAATATGGTCAGGCTGCCAAGGACGAAGTTATGGCCATGATTACAGATATGCAGCTTCTTGATAAAACAAACAAAAACTCTTCAACGTTGTCTGGAGGAATGAAGAGAAAACTCAGGTTTGTTCCTATKCTACTCATCGTCTSCCGGTAGTTTTCCCCTWTTTTCGAACAGGACTCGTTTGTGAGTTATTGTAAACGGATGCACGTTGTTCTTGTTGTATTGCCGTTTTATGTTACGTTCGTATCCCGGGTAGATGGCTGACTTCGCGGCCATATATCTTTTTTTTTTGACTCTCCATAAAACCAAGTCAAATAATTAGAACAGGTGCGAAAGAAATTATGTTGACATTTTTTTACATTTTTTCCAGCTGTGCCATTGCCCTTATAGGTGGATCCGAAACGGTATTCCTGGATGAACCCACATCAGGAATGGACCCYTATGCACGAAGAGCTACCTGGGATTTATTGTTGAAATACAAGGSAGACAAAACTATTATCCTGACCACACATTTYATGTGAGTAACATGCACTCAATCGAARTGATCTAAAGGTAAGGTAGGAGAAWCCTCGCCAGTATCCACTACATCGTGCTAACGAGGCTTTGAAGGTTTCGGGTTTACTAGTCTTACATTCATTTACATTCGTCTGTCTATCTTATATTAAGCAMYTTGAGACATAATACATTGTTGCGTGGGGCGAGWTTGCCACACACCGTCTGCCAACTAGTTTCAACAAAACCAAAGTAACCGGTTCAACTTTCTGTATGTTCTCAGGGACGAAGCTGATTTCCTGGGAGATCGCATTGCTATCATGGCTGATGGTCAATTGCGGTGCTGTGGATCCTCTCTCTTCTTAAAGAGCAGGTGTGAMAACATTTTGTGATGAAYTTTAGCTCATYGCGTATTTTATGACACGTGAAGCTTTCTATTCTATTCTCAATGTCACTATACTCTAACATGCAGTCTGTCATCCACATTCAAATTTTAATTCCTCGTTTAAAATGATACTTCTTTATCAGATATGGCGTTGGCTACCATCTTACTTTGGTCAAAAAGGAAGACTTCGATAAAAACATCACGATGAGTGCCATCAAGAGAGTCATTCCATCAGTTGAAATCCTTAGCAATGTTGGTGCTGAATTGGAGTTGATTCTAGATAGAGAATCAGCCACGCATTTTGGCTCATTATTTCACGAACTAGAAAGTAAACCTTAATTATTACTTTCTGACACCTTTATTCGATACTTATATGAAAAAAAACTATTGATCATATCTGCTGCGAGTCTTGCATATTTTAGTGGCCGGTAATATTTTTGTATAGTAGCCATTTACGAGGAAAAGGCAGTTTTTTCAAATATCACCGGGTTCAATCAAATTAGACTCATATGTGAAGAGATCTAAGCAAAAAAAGGTGTCCCTTTACAGCCTTTTGCAAAAATTATGAGAATTGTCGAAATATCTAAATATCATAATATCGAGTGCATAATGGGTAATCACGCGCGATGCCCTTAGTCCCTTGTCTTTGTAGTTTAGTTTTTTTTTTGCGACAGACTTATCCGTAGTTCTGAACATTTTCTCGATGTCAATTCTAGCAAACCCGCGTGTTCCGGACAATATATGGATATGGATATTATGATATTTAGATATTTAGACAATTCTCATAATTTTTGCAAAAGGCTGTATCGCCTTCCCGATAGGCTCATATATTGAGAATCAAGCAGTTTCATGTGATTCACCCCTTTGCGTTTTCAGCCAATAAAGAAAAATATGGGATTGCCAGCTTTGGAGTGTCAGTCACCACTATGGAAGAAGTCTTCATGAAAGTGGGAGAAGGATCCGAGAGGACCGTCGAAAACATGTAAGTCTTTGAATAATCCAAAACCTTTTCACCACCACGGAACGTTTCCATCCTTTACTTCCTTGTGAATAGTGGCTTATTACTATCCCGGTGTCACTCCCTGAGAATATAACCATGCATTTTAGTACATACTGAAAGTTGAGTTCGTTTATTGTTGTGTGAAGTGCGAGCCTGTAATTATAAGTTTCACAATTTTGTCGTTTGCATAATTTCTCTTTTGGTGCATAGTATTGAATGAGTTACCTGACAATTTGGGGCCGACAACATCTAACATTAGATTATAGCGGAAATAAGCGCGCGTCTAACATTATACAATGAAATATTCATGTAGTGCTCGTGATCAACAACGCCGCAGGGATACAGAGAGTCTTATTGAGATGCCAAATGATGAAGAGCCTGAAATGGGAGGTAAGTGCCTGCCCATTCTTCTGCTACCATGATGATTAAACGATACGCTAGCCGTGTCCGTGTTACCATGCTATGCTACTGTACTTWATATGGACTCCTTGCATGTAACCTCAAAGCATCTTTATCTGCAGGACAATCCAAACGTTTTTTCTTGCCCTCTTGGAAACAAAAATCAATTGTTTTGTCCTACCGCTAGAGGCCGTGTATTACAATAAACTACAAGTGGTCTGTAAAGTGCATTTCATATATCTTCAAATATAATCGTAATAGTTTCTAACCAATTATAGCTTATATTTACATAAGTTAGATGAGTAAAACTGTAGCCTACTCTCTGGAAGAACTTGATACTCTGGGGACCAAGAGTGGCATTTTGTAGCAATAATGTTGTTTTCTTTCAGAATTATTGAAGGGYCTTCCATTAAAATGGCAACAGTATAAAGCGATGTTTATCAAAAGATTTCTCAACTCTAAGCGAGAAAAGAAAGCAGTTGTTACCCAAATAATACTACCTCTAGCCATGGTTTTATTAGGATTAATGATAATGAACGCTAAACCTGAATGGGGCAGCGAGCCAGCACGCGTACTTAAACTGTCAAACCTGGGCACCGGTGGAAGTAATGTAGTTGCCTTCTATGCAGACTTCAGGCAAACCAAAACAGACATCAAGGTATGATGTGAAACTGATGATGCTYATGCTGATAGTGTTAGGACCAAGTTAACAATGAAAATGATAACGGTAATTTAAAATATACTCGCAATTTTCCAGTGCTCACTTTCTCTCTTAACCTTTATGATGCAACCTTTTGGGATCCGACTACGTTTTTTCCAATTAAGTGTAATGGAAGTGTGAATAATTTCCAATTTTTAGAGAAAATCGGTGCTTCGAGCGCTGTTTGGATTCTGTGTTGTTCTATCCTCGATCTTAGGGACGGAGCTGTTCGTATCGATCACAGTAGTGCACGATGTGCTTTCTCTTATCTCATGCATGTTCACTTAGTGCTTAATATACTTTTTCAAGTAGGTTCATTACTCCAAAAAAAAAAAATAAGCAAGAAAGTATCGYGGGGTTTCTATACTTGCGTCTATATGCGTTTTGGTCGGGTTTACTGAATTCTATACCAACATTGAAATATTCGATACCACTCTAATACGCAAGTCGCTGCTGGCAGCATTCTGCATYCAGTTAACATTGCTCAAAACATCGTACGCCACAATACTTTTTGGTCTCACATTTGTGTGTCTTTATGTTTTTTTTTTCTTTTTGATTGAAACCCGAAATTAGTGTATTATACAATTTACAAGATTCTAAATCAATACTATCTAACAGGTAAATAAATAACTACAGTTACGGATATATAGTTCGAAAAGTAAGCTTATAAGGGTCATTTCGTTTCTACCCTACAGCTTCTCAGAGTAGGAGTCTCTCTTCGATAGGGATTATTATGAACTACTTCTAGCCCGCTACAGTGGTGTACTCAGTCTATTTCTTTACAGGTTGCTAAGGATTTTCTTAAAACTAGTAAAGTGGATATGAAAGACGTCTCTGGGGACGTGGAAGCTATACATTTGGGGAACATGGGTAACAGTATCAAGGTCAAAGGGAAGAGTTACAACTACACAGTACCAATCAATAATAAGACTAGTACAGCCTGCTGTGACTATCAGTTTTTCATTTTGAATAAAAAATGCAAAAGTGATGTAAGTACAACTGATTTTAATAATTTCAATGCAATATTTGAGGAAATGGAATGCAGTGCAACACAAAATGCAATCCCACTTGAAATAATACGAAGTAAGAGCTCGGGAAACGAAACAAACAGACATAAACTTTTRAACTTTAGAAATGCAATGCACAAGCGCTGTAATTACTGCAGATGTTTTTTCGATCATACCTCACATTGTCATGTAACATATATATAAACTGTCTATTATATGCAACCACAGYAAAGATCTGATAGCAACGATTCATATAAGGCTGTTTGGAGTTGCAATAATACCCCGTTACTCATCACTGACTTAGCGGTTTTTCTTTCTTGTGTTTTAGTTCATAAATGAATCACTTCTTCACTACGCGTGCTATAAGAAAAGGAAAAACAAAAATCGGTAGGTATTTTCTTGTTTATTCGTTTCTTTGTTTGATTGCTTGTGATTTAAAAGTCCTCACATGGGGTGATTATATATATGTTTCAAMTTTTTTTGTTAGGTCCCAACATTATATCTCCACATTTCTAAAAGTCATCTTTYAGAAAATTTCGAGATGTTTATCAAAATAAAAATAAATACTTATTCTATACAAGGGTTTGTCGTGTTCAAATGGACAATAAGTATCCACAAGTGGGAAAGTCCACACAAATGGGTGATCACTTCTGTTTGATCGGAACGAAAGAGAGATCCATGCGGAACGCGCAAATTCCATTTTTCATTGACATTTTGACCTTCATTCTCTTGGCCAGAACATCCTCGGTTTCCTAGCGTAAAACAGGAAGTACCAGAATGGCTCCAGTGTATGCGCAAGTTGTCTGTACGTCTGTCTGTCTGGAGTCAAGACTAAAGTCTCGCTGAGTTTATTACTATTCTTTATGAATTTCTGTATGTTCACTAAAGAAATAATTCATTTCTGAGTTACTGTTGTYTTTAGGGATACATGGTGTCCATATTATATGAGAAAAGCTGATCTCGATGACATGAATGTGTACTTCAGTGAATATGTCCTAGAGAAAAGCAACACCAAGGATTTCTTTAAAAAACACGTGGCTGGGTTTACATTTGGCCCTCCTCCTACGATCAAGAATGTCACCACCTCTAATAACGTAACCAATACAACCAAATCTGTGGTGGTCATGCCTGACACTATGTCTACAGTCTGGTATAGTAACAAGGTATACTACTTTTCTTTTCAAAGTACCTCTGTGTTGTGCCTTTAAAGGTGTTCAAGAGAATATTCTCAAATATTGATTGATTGGAATTTTAGCCAATCAGGGACTGCGATTTCATAGTATATTTGATTTGGTTTTAGGCCTATCATACAATCGCTGAAGCACTGAATGCCATGTCCAATATATTGCTACGTCAACATTCTAGAGTTGACGACCTTATCGAAACTATTAATCACCCGCTTCCAGACAAAACCGAGGATAGGGTAAATATGATTATCAATTTGACTTACAGCTTTTCTTTCTTCTTATCTTATCTTTCTCTATTTCACTTAAAGACATATATATATAAGCGCGCAAGCATAAGCGGTATAATGTAACGACTTACTTAACATTTCATATCTAAGCAGGATAGAAAATAAGAATAAAAGAATCAAGAAAAGAATAGAAACGAAAAGAAAAGAAAAGAAAAGAAAAAAAAAAGGGAAAGAGAAGAAAAGAAAAGAAAAGAAAGAAAAGAAAAGAAAAGAAAAGAAGAAACATTCTTAGGGATGGTGTAGGCTTGAACTCTTTTTTTTTCTCTGTACCATGTTGTTTAAATTCATTCGACTCACTTTCCAGTAAAAAAATGCACAGCAAACCGTACTGTACTTTTAATAAAATTTGATATAATCATTATTAGATAGAAGAAGATGAGGGAAGCGCTATGGTCAGAGTGATATTGCTGTCATTCCTCCTTGCAATGGGTTTAGCTTTTATGGCGGCAAGTTTCATTACATTTCTAGTTAAAGAGCGCTCTTCCAAGGTACGACAATTATATTGACTATGTCCATGGTTTATACGACCATCTTGAAAATATTTGCTGTAAAATGWWYTAGAATTGGGGATCAGAGAAATAACACAAGACAATTTTTAAAATTCTCTAAAATTTTTCACATGAAGAAATCAGTGTATATATATCAAGAGAGGTGACAATTTGAACATTGGGAATGTATTTTTTTGTTGACTGACTGTATGTAATGAATCACTTCTAATATTCACATGTCGTCATCTGATGGTGCACAGCAAATCAGTTTGACATATCCCTGTATAATACAATACACTATGTAGTATCACTGCTGAAGTATATCTTCACTGTTTAATTGTTATTGTTTTGAACGCGACGGATCGATATTAGAGCACTGAGGGATTAAACATCATTGTATAATTTCAGTATTTAAAAGATTTATCGACATGTCACCCGAATTATCGTGCATTTTTCCTTATTTACTGAGACGTTTATAATTTTTTCTTACGGACAAACAGGCAMAACACTTGCAGTTCGTAAGTGGTGTCGATGCAGTCTGCTACTGGTTGGCGACCTACACTTGGGATTACATCAACTATATGATTCCAGCCATTTTTGTTCTGATACTCATCGCTGCTTTCCAACTCGATGAGTTCAAAGATGATCTCGGAACAGTACTCCTGCTTTTGGTAAGTGTACTCAAGTAACTTGATCTTATAGTTACACTGGTTCATGTTTGTCCTTATAATGATAGTGGGTCATTTTTAACTTTTCAGCTTTTATTTGGATTCTGCGCCCTACCGTTTGTCTACTGCCTGTCGTTTGTATTCACATCTCCCCTCATCGCATATGCGTTAACAGTATTCATCCTGTCCATCTTAAGCTTAGTAAGTGTGAACTATACTTTTGTTCAATAATCAAATCGCAGCCATGCTAGGGTAGGATCTGGACGTAAAYCTTTTAGAGCAAAAGGCAAAAAGGAGAGCTGCAGAGAAAAGAGACTTTCGTGTATCATAACAAATATTCAGTGAATGAAATGTGAACCAAATCAAAACGCCTAACTATTGCTATAAATGGATGAGGTCTCTTGAAATAGTTCTGAAAATTTCGCCAAAAAATGTCAGTGGTTCTTATGAAATAAAAATAATAATTGACCCCRCTTATWCCTTTTTATTCACGACCAACCAATTGAGTACAGTRAATCCTCGAAACTCTGTACATAATTATGATTTTGATTGCCCAAAACTTACGAATGAAGTTATGCTAAGTGYAATTTTTCCTTCTATAGGTAATGTTGAATGTCGTGTTTGTAACACGATGGAGTAATTCAGAGGATGCCGACATCTTGCACCATGTCTTCATGCTGTTCCCTACTTATACGTAAGCTTCTATTTTTAATAACGTCTTATGATTTTGTCTTTAAGATCTTTATGTTTCTAGAGTGGCAAAATATGAGCGASGAAGTGACGGAAGTAGCTGATCGAACAGTTACGGTTACTTACACGCAATACCAAACTTTCGAGGCATCACGGGATTGCTTTATTTTCATGTGACAATGAGTCCTTATCATAAGCCCGACATTCTGTGAATCGGTTTACAATGTCTACTGGGATGCCAATCTCGTCAAAACCAAGTCGCTAAATCGTTATTACTTCGCTATAATTATCATAGCTAGATGTAAGAGGTTTCCTCAAACAATTCTCCCCTGGCTGCACCAAGGCTTTCAGGTCATTCTATAGTAGTGCTTAGTACTGTGTACTGTGGTGGATTTGTCTTTCCCGTATTCAGAGCTTCTGAGATCGATTAGCTGCAGTGTCCAGATTTCTGGTATTTGTCCAAAAGAGAAATATGAAAAATCTTTCCCAAGCACATTCCCCAGCAGTAGCAGGAAATATGAATAGTCGACATTTGCAACATTAAATACTTTTTGTATTTTTTTGAAATTATATTTTATGATAAAATGGATTGCGAGCAAGTCATATCATTCCAAACTTGTAACGTGCATGGCATTCTGAGTTTCCCAAATSCCTCCCCTGAAAAAGGAAAACTAAAGCTAAACAGTAACACTAAATGGCACTAGTCTTTGCTTTCACGTGTGATCTAGACAAAGCTCTTTTTGAAATGCTTCTTTCAGATTATCTATTAGTTTCAATGACATGGCCACCAACTACAGACATAGAAAGACCTGCACGGAAAACGTCAAGTAAGTGATCGAAATATCTTCGCTCTTATAAAACGAAATCAGGCAGCTGATTGGGACTATTGGGCATCAGTCCCAATCTATTGGACGTTATGAGTTGATATAATCATAAAGCAAAAACATTATCACGATCAAACAAATTCGATAGGCAAACAAAGGAATCGACTAACATCACTGAAAGTCGTTGTTTTYATTTTCAGAGCTACTGAAGCCTGCAAGTTTCAAAAARTCTTGTTCACGACCAARCCATTAGATTGGGACATGCCTGGCGTTGGACAAGAAGCTCTCTTCATGTTTGTTGAAGGCCTCGTACTTTTTACTTTGACAATTCTAATTCAGGTGAAGTAGTGTGCGATTTATTACATACCWCCAGCATGAGTTAATTAATCTACTTCATCAATGCAACTCTCCTTATTTGAAATTCTTCCTATTGATATCATCTACATGCAATGCACACGTGATCTACATGCAATGCACACGTGAAGTGATGTGACGTTATCATGGTATCAAGAAGTCAATAATAACTGCATTCATATCAAACAATTGCCAACATTCGCGCGGGCTACCTGTGTCTTTTGTGGGATTCCTTATTTTCAAGGATCGAGGGGACTAGGACAAAATTATAATGGCCGACATGTTGAAAAGCGATTTCTCTGCAAATTCTGTAAGTTTTAGCCATTTTAAAGCACTAAAAGGTGGAAAAAACTTATCCCCTGAAAATGCCATATAATAAATATCTTATTAACCTCGCTTGCTCGAGCCGTACGGGAAGTTATGGAACCTCGTTTTTTTCACTTTTTTATGGCCCTCGCGCTACGCGCTCTGGTCATAAGTCAGTGGAAAAAAAAAAACGGTCCATAACTTCCCGTACGGCCCTCTCGAGTATTGAGAACATATGGATATATATTCGAAATGATGTCTAGATTTGTCTTAAAAAGAGCAGTATTCAGAATCAATAAATCTCTGCAGGTCAGATTTCTTGTTGGAACGGCTTCCAAATTAAAGAACGAGGTCAACGCGGATATAAACCGTAATGAGGTATGATATAGATTTGTGAAAAAGTATTAAATACATGATATATTAATTGAATTTCAAAATAAATTCTTCTTGRATAACACCAGGATGAGGATGTCCGCACAGAAAGAGAGCGCGTCCTYGGGCTGGACAAAGAAAACATTGACAAAGAATCAGTTGTTATCAAAAATCTCACCAAGGTAAACTTTGTTGATTTTTTTTGGCTTTAAAGTATTTCACTGATATTAGTTGTTTATGATCCTGTTGTCGTTGTTGTTGTTGTTGTTGTATTAATGTCACTTGTGTTATAGATCTGCCTTCTATATTTCGTTTCGTCAATAGTGTTTGTTTTTTGTTGTTTTTTTTCTACACTCCTATAGGTATATCGTGGATCAGACAGAATTGCTGTTGATCATCTTTCCATAGGAATACCACGAGGAGAATGCTTTGGACTTCTTGGTGTAAATGGTAGTTGCAAAAATAGCGAGAGACATGTACATKATCAATAAAGAGCTTATCCTATAAAATTAACATTTYAGGTGCTGGAAAGACAACGACTTTTAGTATGCTGACTGGTGATCAGAGCATCACTGAAGGCTCAGCCTACCTTGATGGCTATAACTTACAAACTCAGCTCAGACAAGTAAGCGAATTAATTTTTTAAAACATATATTGTAGTGTACTAATCCATTAAAAAATTCTTATTTAGGTGCAACAACGCATCGGATATTGTCCCCAGGTATGTGAAAATCATTCCGTATCTAAAACTATTGCTTTTTTCGATGTCTATATTTAGGACATACAAACATGCACACACAACTATGGCACTCTTTCTCCGTTATACATTCAGGAACAGGGCATTATTCTAAACTTTGAAGTTCAGAAAACAAATTCAAAATATTGCACCACTACTTAATGCACGGGCCTTTCTTTAATACATAATATTGCAAACATTATCTGATCGTTATTATTTTATATAATAATCAATTACACCATTTTCAGTTTGATGCATTGATTGAAAGAATGACTGGTCGTGAAATGCTCAAAATGTACGCCCAATTGCGTGGTGTACATCCTTCAAAGATCGATGACATTGTCTCTTCCACAATAAACAAGTTGCAACTCGGGGAATGGGCTGACAAGCTAAGTGGAAACTACAGGTATACTTTTTTTAATCATATAAAGCTATTTCAGAAAACGTTGAATCCTAAGGATTGTTTATTTCAAGACGAAAAAGTGCATTGTTGCAATCGTTCTATCGCCGTTCAAATGGAGTTTTCGTTGCTTCAAATAAAATGATTGTACAATCTCCATACAATCAAGAGCTTCAATGGAAAGAAAGTAAGTTTGGAATTTAAATTTTGTAAAGCATCTATTGTGGAGTTTGATAGCAATAATACATTGYARTTTTGGAATACACTATTCAGCATTCAGGATCCAGAATTCAGACGTTTTCTGAAATTGCTGTATGCGTCTATCCACGGTGGTAATCAGGTCATCCTTCCATCCTTTTTTTAAGTTATTCCACATCAAACATCTATCCATTTCCTCGTTCTTCTGTTGTTCCTTTATTTATTATTTCATGAAAATTGTTTGTAAGTTATGCACATTTATTGATTATTTTGGTTATGCCTTCCCGCATTTAAAATTAATGAGCAGATTTAGTATGCCTTTTTCGGCTTTGATACAAAAAGTGTATAAAAGAAAATTGTCTTTGGTGAGATAGAGAGAAAGCAGCTACCTAACTAATAATTTTATTTGCAGTGGTGGCAATAAACGCAAACTTAGCACTGCGATTGCACTGGTTGGAGATCCTCCTATCGTTTTCTTGGTGAGCATTTCATGTGCATCATTGTATAGATTGTTTTTTTGTTTTGTTTTGTTTTTTGTTTTGTTCTTTGAATCGATTGTTTAGATTTGATTTGAAAACAAAACATTTAGWAATAGGATATTCAATATTGGATGTCAATTTCTGCTGGCATAAGTACAATGTTTCAACCTGTAGGATGAGCCTACTAGTGGAATGGATCCTGTTTCAAGACGATTTTTATGGAATGCATTATACAACGTTATGAAGGGAGGTCGATCTATCGTCTTGACATCACACAGGTTTGTGTCTTTAGCGTGGGTGGCACGCATAAACATATAGCCACAAATACATTGAGTGTGACTAGAAGCTAGCAAGCTGCAAATCGACYACTGTTCCATTTCAGGTTATTSAACTTCTTGTAAACATCAACTTGTTAGTCTCCTAGCCTGAAGTTGTGATGTTTAACAGGGTTTGTGGGAAAGGTTGAGTTATTTTGAGGCATTTATTGGGGGGCGCAAAATAGAAAACAACAACAACAATAACAGATAAGCAAGCAAATGGTTAAAATAAAAGATAGATCAATAGTCTCCTTCACGGTTACCTGCGCCATCTTGAAAGGTAGCCGTGCCTTGTCATCGAAGCGAAACGACCGTTGAGCGTGCAATGATAGATACCTGTGAATAATTGTCTATAGGTGTGAAAGAAGGTTTCTATCATTGCACGCTCAACGGTTGTCTCGCTTCGATGACAAGGCACGGCTACCTTTCAAGATTGCGCAGGTAACCGTGAAGGAGACTATTGTTACCTTAAAACTCAGTGGCGCCCCTTCACGGTGTTGGTTGTACATGTCTGTTGAATGGATTGTATTAACTGACCTGTGAATACGTAATATAATGGCATTTACGAGCAATTACCAGTTAATTTCTGTTTTTGTTAGCATGGAGGAGTGTGAAGCTTTGTGTACCCGTCTTGCMATCATGGTCAATGGTCAATTCAAGTGTGTTGGTAGTCCRCAGCATCTTAAGAACAGGTAAAGTCGTGCACATAAAACCTCCTCGGGTATATTAAGACCTGGTTTTTCCAATATTTTCAATAAACCTCAAATAATTCATCATTCTTTCTAAAAATCATTAATCAATTGGCTTGCATTATCAAGTTAAAAAAACGACTACTTTGATTATTTTTAACTTTGGAGGTGTGTCACGTGATAAGTCCGTTATTTGGTTTGAAATTGTCACTTGAAAATATACCGTTTTGTTGCTTTTTATTAGAACTTTACAAATACGACTTTTAATGTTGTAAACACAAAGTATTTTAAGAGCTATTTGATGAAACAGGTCACGTGACCAAATTTGCATATTGTTTCTTTTTATAATACTTATCAGATATAAAGGTCTATAACCCTAGCAAAGGTCTCACGTTTGRTACCTGATCAATGACCAATGCAGGATGTCAACCGATTACAGTAAACAGCATCCAGCGCTTCTATTGTACCTTAATGCGTATTCAGTGTGCTTTGTAAAGTGATTCGCGCAAGATCAGTTTGCCACATTTATCACAAACATGTTTTTTCGGCAACTTCTCCTTGAGATTTAACGGATTTAAGTTTCAAATTAGTGTCGGAGTTTTTGAATCCGTTTAAAACATTCGAGATCGTGTTTTAATCTATACATGAAAATACAGCCTCGTTTCAATGCCGAGCCATGCCTTAACATGCCTGAGTCCAAAAGRTTTTGATTTTCACAATTTCGATAGCTAATTATTTGAATGAATGATGAATTGAATGAATCAATGGAGTGGGATGCATKCCAAATTAATAAATCAATCAATTAATGACAATGACTGTGTTTGATTGAGTTGTTCATTGATTCATTAATTAAGAAAGCAAACAACTGAATCRACCAACTGAGGAACTTTTCTTCATTTTGTTGCATCAATTCTTTTATAGATAAATTTATTCCAATAATAATKAATTGACTAATTTTCTTTTTGACTGATATTATGTTCATTGAAATTTATTAAACAACAGTTTCTATTTAGGTTTGGCACTGGTTATACTCTTACAATCAAAGTGAAAGGAAGCAGCCACGCTATCGTCCCAGAAGCCTCTGAGAACAATCCACCTGCTCCGCAGCAACAGAATACGACACCAGTTGCTTTTGTCCCTGTTCTATCAGATGGACTGGTTGCTGACGCTGTTGCTGTTTCTAAGGCAAAGTCGTTCATAGAGGAGACATTCCAAGGTGCTGTTCTTATGGAAACCCATAGTGTAAGTTGTGCACACTCAGTTTAAAACTCATTCCATGGCAAGGTTTCGACCTTACGAGATCTTGATCACACCTCAATGTTATGTAAAGTTTTTGATCTACAGTAACTGAAGTTTTAAAAAAACTTTCCAAGGTATTTTACGATCTGAAAACTGATAAGAAAATTGTCCATGAAAATCACGTCTATGTTTCATTGCGATACATTTTGGAAATATGATATCTGAAATGGACGTCTTGAACTCTTGACGTATATGTCCACCCTACATTACCGAATAAAACTGTATCTAATTTTACTTCGCTATCTTTTAATTACAAACATTTAAGAACATGCAACGTAACTGCAATGTAGCTAACGCGGAATTTAATAGGGACAATGCATTGCGGTCTTTGAATGCAGCATGCAGYACAGTATTTAACGGTTTATGAAATTACTCTATAAATAAATTATTCATGTGACTTGCATTTGTCTTGCATTGAGATTCGTATCAAGTTGCAAGCATTAGAATAAAATTATTAGTGTATAGCATTTTGCAAGAGTGCATTCTGAAATTTTCAGTACAAAGTTGTCGAAAAACAACTTTATAATTCATTTTAATGAATTGCCTACAATTCCATAGAGAATGCTGCAGTATCATATGTTTATTATCGAAATGACTTGAAAATAAAATTTTTGTTCTTTAATTGACCACTGTTCTATATGACGTCACAATGACGTCATAGATATCAGGATTTTTTTTTAAATTGTATATCTATATCTAGATATATAGTGTCTTTGTCGTCTTTGAATGATTTGACTCCAAATCTCACTTTTTGTCTACATCGTTATTTTATAGTAAAATTTACAATTTGAGGAGTTTYTGAAGTTAAACAATTTGAAACAAGCAATTTTGAGAAGAATATCAGCCATCTTAGGATCCGCCATCTTGGACCGCCATCTTGAATTTTCTAAAATGCCATTAAATAGCTAAGCATTAAGGCAAACAGCTCAAAATGTCTTAAATACTTCTCAAACTAACATTTAATGAAAAAAGAAGTGAGTTTGGAAGTGCTACTGATGATTTTAATGAAATTTTTCTCCTATGTGAAAAAATGACTGAAAACTACCCACCCCGCCCCCCAAAGTTTTTGTTATCGAAAAAGTATTATGGTATTGTAGAKAGTCAGCAATGAGAGCAACTGACATGTTAAGTATTAACAGAAACATTGTAATTACAAAAAGAATAGTATAATTGATGCAGAATTACTATTTATGTGCATATAGTAATTTTTACAAAATTTTTGTAAAACTGTGTGTATTCAGTTGGAATTAATTTTGGGCATTAAATTGATATCATTTAGGGAATGTTGACTTATCACATTATCAACGAGGACTTGACTTGGTCGCAGATATTTGGTAATCTGGAAAGAAACCGTGAAATGTTGGGTATTGTCGACTACAGTGTTAGTCAAACCACTCTCGACCAGGTCAGTATATACTTGACTTGCATTGTACTTGCTCCAGTGCACGTAATTATAACACGTACGTCAACACCAGGTTATTGTTTCAAAGGAAAAGGAACAAAACTAAAATGATCCGTCCTTTTGTATTTCCATATAGGTACATGAAAAATAGCAACGTATTGATAAATATCCATACCAATGACTGCCATCTTGAGTCCCATCGTCTATAGAAAAAAAAAAGAAATTAAATGAAGAAAGTTAAAATTAGAAATAAGTCTTTTGACTGGTCTGTATAGTCGATCGCAGTTGACATCAACTACATTTCTTCCACAAGGTTCAGAGAATTCTCGCCAAAGGATGGTCTGAGATGTCCTAGAAAACGAATCTCAGACTATTATTTCTTCTTAGTTTTTTATGTTGTTTATTTTTATTTATTCATTTAATTTTGACTCGATTCTCTAACGTGACATCAATGCTTTCTTTCATTGTAGGTGTTTATTAATTTCGCTAAAAAGCAGCATTCTGAAGAAAGAAGAAAAGTGAAACGAAAGTGTGGATGTCTACCTTGTTGCTGAAAACAAAGTAATAAATCACCCAGTGCCAGAGCAACGGCATTTCTTGGGAGGTTGCTCCTGAAGGATCTATCGTCTGAAAAAGTTAAAAACAAAACAAATTGATTTAACATAGAGACCAATAATTTACACTACAAGCATCTCCAGCTTCTTTCCGTAGTGCGAAGACTCAAATTTCTTAAAATGAACTAAATATATAATGGAAAATCAAACAAGAACGACTTTAGATAGATAGATAGATAGATTTGTTTATTTCCACTTATTGCAGTATAAGCATGACTGAATTACAAGTGGGGTCAGGATAAATAATAAATATGATTAGATAAATTCACAATAAATAATTAGTAATACCACTGGTTACATATGAGCTTAGCGTACTTATGGGTAGCAAAGTGCTTTAATCTATCTGTGCGCGTTGATCTTAGGCTGGAGTTACTACAAATTCTTAAGCTATAATTATACGATGATTTAGTTAACTGACCCTTACTGATGTTATACAGGGGGATATTCGGTTGAACTGAGGAGATAAAGTCCTTACAAGCAGAGGATCTTCTGTCTTCCAGTAATTCTAAGTTAGCTGCTTCAAGTGCAATTTTATACGAYAGGTCAGGAAAGATGATAGCAAGTGCGCGTTTCTGAACTCTTTCAAGATCTAATGACAAGTATTTAGGCAGATTGGCAAAACAGACAGAGCCGTATTCAAGTATAGGTCTAATTAATGAGCAATACACTGCGACAATATCAGCCGCGTCTACGTCGCACTTTTTGAGGATTCTGAGAGCATGGAGCCTACGGTTGGACTTTTTGATTATGTAGTCACAGTGGACGCTCCACGTCAAGTCATGGGAGATGTAAACACCAAGAAATTTAAAAGACGAGACACATTCTATGACGGCACCACRGGAGGAAAGGGGCGGGCACGAGTAGCTATTACTAATGGGTTTATCTGCATGGTTTTGCATTTGGTAGGATTTAAACGCATTTTGTTATGGAATGCAAATGATTCTATATCATTGACTGTAAAACTCAGGTACGAGGGGCAATTCCTAGGGATGATTTCTAATATAGTGAGGTCATCGACATACTTGGCTCGCGGTCCCCAGTTGGAGACTAAATCGTTTACCATGACAGCGAACATCAAGGGGCCTAATTTAGTCCCCTGGGGTATCCCTCCCTTTAGAAACAGGGGAGGGGGACAGGACCCAGCTATACTAACGCATTGAGACCTGTTGAGCAGGAACGATGCGATCCACCGAACTAAGCAGGGATGGATGATGTTAAAAGTGGTGAGTTTATCTATTAATAACTTATGATCAATTTGGTCAAATCCTTTACGGAAGTCCGCAAAGAACAGTCTAATCCAGCAGTTACCACTGTCTAATGCTTCAAGGGCCAAGTGTAGCAGGTACATGACAGCATGTGAGGTTCCCGCCATAGCAAACTGCTTTATGTCCAAATCAGCTAAGATGTCGGGTAGAATTCTAGAGAGGACAAAACCTTCAAACAGCTTGGCGGTCCCTGTAGTCAAGGAGATGGGTCTAATATCGTTTTGGATGGACGAAGGCGGAGATTGTTTGGGTAGCGGACGAACCACCGCACTCTTGAGAAGAGAGGGAAGGCAGCCTTCACGCAGCGACGCATTGAAAATATCAGCCAGTACAGGAACGAGTTCATACGAGAAGGTCTTCAAAATGATATTTGGGATTCCATCAGGACCCATGGACTTCTTTGTTTTGACGGACTGCAGGGCTTTCAGAACTTCAAGTTCAGACACAAACATCACGTCAGGGATTTCATTAACGCTGATTGATGAGACATCAGATTGAGACAGGGGRGTAAAAGACRAAGTAAGCCCGACAAAGAACTCATTGATCTTACGACAAAGTGTTTGTACAGAGACAATGTCACCACTAATTGACTGATTATACCACTTCTCTTGGGAACATGAAATTCCAGAAATACCTTTAATCTCATGCCACCAGCGGCTAGGTTGGGTGTTCTTTACGTTTTTAACTTTGTTGCGATAGTACGTCTTTTTACATGATAAGATGGCATTGGAGACTTTGCTGCGCCATAACTTAAACATATGAGAGTCTTTACCAAATCCAATTAGACACTGTTGTCTCTTGGCGATCCAAGTCTTACTTTTGGAGGAGATCCATGGTTTATCTGTACTGTGTATGCGTGACGTTTTCAGAGGAAGGAATTTGTTCATCGCGCAACTCAAGGTGGACATAAATATTTTAAACTTCTGCTCACACGATGGTGCAGATAATAGATCATGCCAGGAGTAGGATGTAATCCACCGTCCAAAGTCGCGGAGGTAACTGTCCCTTGTATCGCGTTTAGTGATGACTTGTTTCGAACGATTTTGCATAAATGAGGTGTTGTGACSCAMCAGRAYAYAAMAGTGATCACTGGATCCAATCTTAGGGAGCTGAACAGGGTCAAGATGTAGTTTAGGACGGTTTGTTAGGCACCAATCAAGGATTCCCGTATCCCGAGTAAGGACTTTAATTATTTGGGAGAGGCCACAGGCACGTTTAAACACACTAGGAGAAATGTTGGTTGAGTTCGGATTAAAGTCACCTGTTAAGTCACCTGAGTAATTTAACATCAAAAATATACCTAAAATTGCTTGATCTAAAGAAGTTATGAATTGTGTGCTATATAGTGACACACGCCGGTTTTCCTGATTATATGTGGTTAAATGCAATTTAGGCAAGGTTAAACTCGAACTAAGTGTTAGCCGACGTCTCACCGCAAATCATTAGCGTCGGTTTTAGCAACGAGCACAATATATTATTGGGCAATGCGATATACACTAGCATTAACTAATCACGTTCACTCGTATTCACATGATCGCGCCATCAGCTCAAACCACTCGAACTGAATGTCAACCGCTATCTCACCGCAAACCATTATCGATAACATCGCTCAAAGTAACTTCAACCAAACGCCATACGCTAGCACTGGTACACACACTACGCATGCGTACGAGCTGTCTCTGCTCATTAGGAGTACCTGGCAATTTGATATACGCTAGCTATAACCAATCATGATCACACGCTACTCATGTGATCACGCCAGCCCGCCAAAACCGATTCTCGCCACGAGTTTGACCATTCGCTATCGCTAGCACTCACAACGCGATTATTGCAATT